CACAAGAGACCCAGTGATAAAGCATGTAAAATAATGCAGGAGTTTCTCTCCCACCAGTGGTTCCGAGGTCAGCATTACAGCTAGCAGGCTTTGTTCCACACAATTATTCAGGGACTTGGGTTGAGGATGGCTCTGCTGATTTCAATCATGGCTTCCAAGTCACTCTTGTTATCACTTTCTAATTTGAAGAAAAAGAGCATGGAAGTGCCCACATGCAAGGTTTTACGGGCTGGGCCTAGAAATGGCTCATGTCTCTCATGGTCCAATGGTGTGGAGATGTAGTTACAAGAGTTGCTGAGAAATGTAGTCCCTGGCTGGGAAGCCATATTCTACCTGCAACTATATTACTGTGGAAGCAGATAGAGGATTTTGGTGGCTACTAGCAGCCTCAGCCACAGCTCCTTTCTCTTGCTACTAAGTATTTGTGCACGACCTTAACGCACATAGAACACGCTCAACCTCTCCTCATCCAGTTACTGATTTCAGCTTAAAGCCCAGGATCTAGGATCTCATTAAGGTCCATCATTTTGCATGTGGCGTCTAATAGTCTGATAACCTCTAAACTGTTAGGCAAATTTTTTGCTCTCTTGCTCCTGCCCATTTGTAATGCTGTAGTGGGGAGACAGGATAGCCAAATAACTCTCAATTTGGAAAATGAAATAAAGGGAAATGTTTACTCAGATTCAAAGCAATATGGAATGCTCTTGGGAGACCTTGTAAAGATTTTGTCCTTAAGAATGTAGCAGTTACTTGATTAGACCCTGATTCTAATCTTTCCAAGGGACTCCCTTGTTCATTGACATTCATGGTTTCTTCCCCTCTGAAAAGTTATTCCTTACCCATTTTCCCCCATGGCTACATCTGAAGTAGAAGTTGGGAGTGTTCACTCCATGGGGGTTTTGTGAAAATTCACTTCTTGTTGGTATGAGCTTGGTGCCCATCATGTTAAGGCCAACCTCACATTTCCTTGACAATTCAATTCCCTCAGAAACTCAAGCCTTTTTATCTATATGCTTCTGGTGGCATATGCCAGAAGAAAAGAGCTTGGTCTTGACTCCTGTCATATGCAACCGGAAGCACTAAGCTCTTTTCTAGACCCAAGTTCTCAGTATGCTTGCTTTCTTTCCTCATAGGACCCTGCCTCTCTTTAATGCAGGCTATCTTGAGACCGAATGAAAATAGCTTGCCTGGGAATGCTAATCGAGGTCATTGCTACAAAGCTGTGTCCCTTTGTTTGGCTTAACAATTGGCAGAGAAATCTTAACGGGCATCTCCTCTACTTCTACACCTCAAAAGTAATTTTGAACCCTTTCTATTCAAATTGGCTTTTTTAATTTTGTGAAGTTCCTAGTTTCTGAACTTTCTCTGTTCCCTTCCATCTCTGCTTGGAAACTGGTAAATTCTTTTTTGATACCTTGCTAAAAGTATTGTGAAACAGCCAATTCATTTAACATTCTGGCTTTTTCCAACTGCTACCCCTAAAGCTATCAGCTTAGTGTGTGACAAAATGTAGGCTGAAATATATTCCCTACTTACTTGTCATGTTAATGGTAAACCAACACTACACATTTTTAGTTTTTATGGCAATACCTCACTTCAGGATATCAATTTTTGTATCAGAACTAAAAGTGGCAAATGGTGCACAGGGACTGTGTCCAACTCCTGACAAAGACTCAACCAAATTTTAGACTCCCCTGAGCCCTCTTTTTGACTAGGCTTTATTCTTGAGTCCTGTCTTTGGCCTCCCTAATCCAGTTTTAGCAAGAATCCTACTAAATCAGTTTTAGAGGTGACACCCACCCTTGATCACCCTTGGTAGCTGATCAAATTCCTCATCCCCCACCCCTGATATCTGAACAACCCGACCTGCCTGCAGCAAGAATCTTTAGCAAGGAATCACCCTACCCTTGATGCCTCCACTTGACAATTTTCCATCCACCGTCCCCGACTCTGCTCATTGAGTAAAAATCCTCAGCTGTCTTTGCTGTCTTAGGAGTTGAGCCGGATTTTTTTCCCCTATTGCAGTAGGCTTAACACCTATGGTCCTGAATGAAGTCTGTCTTACTGTTTTAATAACAAGTGTCAGAATGATTTTTCTTTAACACTTCATAGCTCTACATGCTGGTGGAATGATGATTGGCAGGGAAAATCAGTATACTACTTGTTACCGACTGAATGTGTCCACCCAAAATCCTAACCCAAATGCGATGCTATGAGGAGATGGGGTCTTTGGGAAATGAGGTGAAGCCCTCATGAATGGGATTAGTGTCCTTATAAAAAAGTGACCCTGGAGAGTTCTTTCTTTCCCATGTGAGGACACAGCAAGAAGACAGTGGATTGCATCCGGAAGAGGGCTCTCACCGGAACCCGACTATACTGGCACCCTGATCTCAGACCTGCAGCCTCCAGAACTGTGAGAAATAAATTTGTTGTTTATAAGCCACCCAGTCTATGATATTTTGTGATAGTAGCCCCGATAGATGAACACACCCCTTTTTCCCAGGTTTCCCCAGCAGGACGTCCCTCACTGGCATGCCATCCAAGATTTGTCTTCTTTATATCCCTTTCGACTTCACTTACAGCAAGTTACTACAGATCACAATTCCTTATGTGGCACTTGAAGGGCCATATATTTCAGAATTCGGAACTTTTCAGATTTTATAAAGTAATACGACTCATACCAATATGGTTTGGGGCAGCACCTCTAATCAAATACATTAACATTTCTGCAGCACTGCAGCAAAATATGAGCATTAAAGTGGGATAAAGAAAGACTATATATATAAAACGTTGTCAGGGGGATCAGGTTGGACTGCCAAATGAGTTTTGGTGCCAAAATGATGGGAAAAAACTCACTTTTCAGAGATCTTTGGATTTTGCAATTATAGCAACAAAACCTTTTATATAAAAAAGTAACTAAAATAATGTAAACATTCCAACAAGTTAATAATGTCACATCTCTATTCCTGTTAGTACTCCCTGTGATCTAGTCCCTTTTCTAAAAAATATGAATTATAGAATCTAAAATTAATTTTGTTCAAAGCAAATCAAAATTGGTCTTAATTCTTAATTGATCTTAATTAACAGACTGTAAAGCCATTCTTTGCCTAATATAATTTTGTTTTTCCCTATCTTGAGTTTTCTGGTGGTTGTCATCAGATAATTCTTAAATGCGATATAACCAAAATTATTACCAGTGAACACCAGAGATTACTCTAGTTGTTAAGACCACTTGTAATCATGAAAGGAAACAGAGATTATGATTACACAGAAGGCTAAGAACTGGAAGAGAATGACTTAAATGCCTCTTAGTTACTCTATCTGGAAAACCAGCTACAGTTTATTTCACTTAAATTAGAGATTAATGGTATTTAAAAGACAAATTTACTACAACGAGGACTTTATGTTGGCCTTAGGATCTTATAATGGAGAGTGGTGTTGAAGAGAGATGAGAGAAGCTAAAGTTGTACATTCATTATAATCAACTGTATAATGTATTTATCTTGTTTTGTATTTTATGCATTTATAGATGGCTTAACAAGTATTTAGTCTAAGTTATTAAAACTTGAAAATATACCCAAATTTTACAAAAACGTGTATTGTATTCATTCGACAACACAAAATATGTGGTAAGATACCATATTAAGTATTAAAAGATCATTTTCCAGTTATCCTGTTGCTCATCTTCTCTAAAACTACCCTTACTCTTCCATGCATTTGGATGCCTAGACACAAGCTCCAAATGTATTTTCAAATGCATTTTCTCCCCCATCAACCTGCCTCAATTGGCCTGTCAGATTAGGGATAATTTTTATTTCCTAAATTCCTCCCAGCTGTCACACTATGGAGATACATAGGAACAATATACTTTATGTAGAAATGCCATTATGTTTTAATAAATCATTGATATAAAAAGATTTAAGTAGTTACCTTACTTTAGCCTTCTGATATTTCATCTCTAAATCCTGCTAAAGTTAAAATATACGGCCATAATTGAAAAAGAACCAAAAACTGTTCACAGATACCTAGAGTGTAATATATTTATGTTTTAACTATTCTGCATAGTTTTCACTGAATACAAAACCACTTTTGGACTACAATTCTAAATTATTAAAGTACGTTAAATCATTCACTAGTGTGGTTCATTTTAACATGTAAGCAGTTCCATCACGTGCCTTATGCAAATACGGACTGACACTTCAAAAAGAATACTAACTCTAGTAACATCATGATTTCCTAGAGAAATGATCAACGGAATCAAGGCTATCTGGAAAAAATAGTCAAGAAAAGGGAAGTTACTTTAGCCTAGTCAAGTTAAAAAGCTTCTAGAAAGGCCAACTAAAGTAAAGCAAGTAAGGCTTTTCTCCTTTATTAGAGAAAAGGATAAAATTTAAGTCCTTTTAAACAATAAAGTCAGAGTAAGGAGGAAAAGGCCTTTTGATTATTAAGAAAGATTCTATGCCTCTTCTACTGCATGGATCCAGCACAGGTTATTCATTAAAGTTTCGGTTCAACCTGTCAGCTATGGTACATCCACAGAGGCACGTGTACACAAGAATTAGCAGTGACTTGGCAAAATTGGTTGCTCAGATTTTACCACTGCAAAGCTCATGGAGTTTAACCAAACATTAAAGGTAAAATGAATGTGCAACCAAGAAAGAAAAAAAAAAGAGCAGCTTTAATTAGTCTTCAGAAAAAGTGTTCACATACAAGACACTTGTCAGGCAAGAAGGTTTTCATTAAATTAAGAAAGAATTTTATCTTCTGAAGTAGTGGTCTACTTTCAGAAATATTCTCATCCAGAATTATACCCTATGTCTAGTCCATTTGGACATCTCAAATGCAAAGCAAGAGAGAGAGGCCTTGCAAGATGTGTTCAGCTGAGTTAGTATTAAAGAAATACAAAGTATCGTTAATTACCACCAATTTATGAAAGTTCACAACATAGCAATGGAGTAAAGCACTTATTTGCATTTTCAATTCACTCTTTGCAACAGGGAGTGGATAGTATTACTATGTTTCACTTCCTTTAGTAAAAGCAGAAGCTAGAAACATTTTTTCCTTATACTTGGGTTCTAAATGTACCTGCTGGGGAAGATGTTGCATGGGAACTTAATTTGGGGCTTGCCCAAGGATGGAGTGCATGTGTCCATAAAGGGATCCAAAATCTTACCCAACTAAAGTTCTTTAGATACTTGGTATTCAAGTAGTTCTGTGGTCTCGAAGATTTATATCACTTTCCAAAGGGTCTAAACTTTTGTTACTGAAACATAACAAGTTCATAAATATTATAAATGGAATAACATAGCTCCATTATAATGTAGTCCAGTGACTTTTGGTAACTGCTTCAAAAAGAGGAGAAATTATAATAGTTTCTCCTATCTACCTTAGAGGCAGCTTTGACACTAGATACGAAAACAGACTTAAAGTAGATTTGAATATGTCAGGAAAAAAGCAAGATAAAAATACAAAGCATGATGAATTAACATCAGGCATTAGAATCTATTAATGATAAAGAAAATAATTTAAAGCCTCCTCAATAATAATCTGTTAAACAGGGTATAAATTAAAGAAGAAAAAATATTTAAATTTTATTTTCAGGAGCAACAACATGTAAGCAATTTTGTGAATTGGGTAAACCACTCTGGCATAAAACAACTACAAAAGCTTGAAAAAAATCCGTACACCATTTTGTTTTGATAAACCTATTATTATATCTTTGTATTCAAATGTAAGACGCTTAGACATTTCTGTTTTGTTGATCTGTCAACAAAGCACCTCCTTAAAGGAATCTATAATTTAAGTGAAAAACTGACCATAACCATAATTTGACATCAACTAGGTAAATGTGGGTCACATACAACACTTTTAATTGTTGATAGAATCAAATAACCATACAGAAACTTTATTGCATTTAGCTCTGTACAACAGAACACACTCTCATTTTTATTATAGAACTACCAGTTATATTGTTGTAGAGCCATTTAAGTGGAAATTCCAATAACTGATTTTTCCAATAGCAGTGAAGCTCTGTACAAACCGAAACTATCTCTAAACTACTAAAACTGTAACTTCTAAAGATATTAATCTCTTAAATCTGATATGTAACATGCCACTTTTATTTTAAATTCAAAGACCAGGTAACTTCAAAGTTACTTTTTTTTCCCTGAAAAGAAAGACTAAAATAAACATCTGAAAGAATAACGTTGCTAGATATTAGAAACAGATACAGGTTGATTCAAGTTCAGTTCTGGCACGCTGACTTTAGAATGCCAAATATCTCTCTCAGGAATTAAAAATACTTGACTATAGTTTAGTCCTTTCGTACTCTTCTTTTGCGTACTGACTTTACTGGCCCATCTCCAGATCCTGTGCTCTCATCTGCTTCTTTCATCTAGGAAAAAGAATTGTGAAGATGTTTATTTTAGTATAACATGTAACTAGTAGATAGTAGTAAATAATTTATTTCTTATTCTCTAAAATACATATTGTTTCTATCAATCGTTGTAATGAAGGTATTATATGGTATAAAAAATAAAGTTACTATTTCTCAAGGTTATAATATACAAAAATTGACTTACTTTAGCTCACTGACAAATATACATAAGAAGACTAAAAGACTGGAAGATGGAATTGGATATTTTTAAAGGTACACAAAATGTTTTGTGAAGCAAAATGTGAACAGAATACATATTCAAGTAAATGACTACAAGTATTATTAAGTCACAGGTGAAACAATGACTGTTTGAAACTGTGCTCTGTCAGAAATGATCTTCACCCAGCTCTCCCTAAGTATGTATATTCACACCTGATAATGATCCCCCAAAGTCCCTTTAAAAACTCACAGGGCCGTTAAGACCAGTAACCAGGTATGTGTACTGAATAAACTTTAGGAAACATTTAAAATAAGAACAAATTTATTTGGAAGATTTCTTTGAATAGATAAAACAGAAAATTTATTTCATCACATGCAATAGGCCAGGCAGAACTCTATTTTACCCTGCCTAAGCAGTTAAATGCCATGTGTTAGGATGGTGACTCTGCGGGGTGAGATGATGTAGCTCGTAGAGGGCTAGAGAAATAGAGAACACAGATTTTTGATTTATGCTGAGTGGAAAAAAAAAAAAAAGGAAGGCTCTAAATTATACTCTGGATTATTTACGATTCCATAATAATTGACTAACAAAGGCATTGTGGAAAGTTCTATTTTATATCAGGATTTATAAAGCGGCAGACATATTCAGCTAGTAAGTAGGGGGAAAAAAACCTAGTTCATTAAAGATTTGAAAAAAACACCAGATTAGGCAGATAGTACTCAACTACCCAACGAATGAAATATTTCAAAATGTGACAATAAAATATTGAGACAATAAGAATGTTTTTACATCAGCTATTTAAAAAACTATAATAATGACTATTACCTTTTAAATATTGATATATCTGTTTTACCTTTCAATAGAATATTTTAATGATAAAATCATCATTTGTTATGGATGCAGATCTATCTTTATGTTTTGTAAATGACAGGCTTACTCTATACTGTTTTATTAGGCATTAAGACAATATAAATTATTGTGTTTTCTTGCCTTCTTTATGGATACGTATTAAAAACAATACAGAAGCGCTTATGAAAGCTGGGAGAAATATGGCCAAAATTCCTTTACAACCAGATTGTTTTTATTGAAATAACCTTATATGGATAACAATTATACATAGAAACGAGTTTATTTTCTGTTAAAATGTGGCTTACCTCATCCTCTGATCCTGACTTATTTGATTTATTACCTTCTTCTTGCCCTTCTGTGATTTCGATTTCTTCTTCACTCTTTTCCTCAGGTTCACCTTCCTCTTCTAAAATATAGATTTTATTAAAGGCAAATCCTCAATGAATTAAATTTTGCTACTGAAAAGTATTATATACAATAAAGGGGATTTATTTAAATTCCAATATTTAAAAGCAATTCCTTCCATTCAAAATTAAAAAAAAATTAATTATACTCATTTCATCAAATTTTATAAATAAATCATATTTGAGTTAAAGGACAAGTTTAAAGAATTCTGAAGTATTCAGTCTGTATGTAATATGAAAAAACAAAAAATTATTATATCATCTTTCCTATGTTCATGCTTTGGGAATACTTCCCTTAATTTTTGGTGATCTTTTATTTTCAATATGCTATTTATTTATGCCTGTTTTCTATGTGGCCACTGTCATGTGTTCTTTCAGTTACTGACTCTCCTTTGTATTCCACTTAGCCAAACCTCCAACTTTGTTACTATCACTACCAAAAGAAAAACGTGTCCTAGGAGCTATATAAATGCTCCTACCCCACCAAGTATGGGGTTCGGGGAAAGGGAAGTCGAGAAATCGTCAACTCTACCTCTCCCGCGTATTTCCACATCCATAATGTGGGACTACATGGATATGTGAAAGTACCTTCTACAAGAAGGCCCTTCCGATACTTAAATATTCCAGTAAAAGCTATATATAAATGCCCTCTATCTAAATAAGGCTGATCAAGACATCAATATATTAAGCACTAAGAAAGTTACAAAAATAAGGCTCTGAGAATTTACATCCTAAATAATTTTAGATATCCTGATACATACATGTGCATGTACACACATACATGTGTATGTATATATGTAAATATACATGTGTGTACAGATACCCTAAAAAATATATATTTGCACACATATGCGTTAAGTCAACTGTTTCATCAACTAAGTTAAAAATAGTGCTTCGAGACATAATTTAAGTTGTAAAGGGCTCAATCTGGAATTTGGCTTGGTATGCCTGGCAAATTGATAGTTTCATTTCTACCTCAGTGTGTGTAAGGAGGTCTCAGCGGAAAGCCACCAAAAAGTGGCTTTAGTTCTAACACCTTCAAGAGTTTAATATAGGTAGGAAAGGGATATAGGTTCAGCAATCTTTTCAGGAAATTAATCAAATTAGTTATTCTATATGATAACTATGTGATAAACAACAGCCACTGGAAGACTTGGTGTTGATTTTGTTGCTGCAACCACCTGCCTTATATCTGTTCCTCGTCTATAGAGGCCATGAAACGCACCTTCCATCTCATCTTCTACGTTCTCAGAGGCAAGAAAAGTCTTTGCAAAAGGCTATTGCAAATGGGATTCAGAACTGTGAGGCTCTGAAGCAACTGAACACTATTTAAATCTCTTTTTTCCTAGAAAACAAAAACTATAAATAGGGTGGCTGCTCAGAGGACTGTTACTCCTCTTTGCCATAGTCATATATTCCTGGGCATTCAGATGTATAAATTTGATAAACAAGTACAAT